GATGTGGGGCTCGATCCCAGGACCCTGAGATCATGACCTGAGCCGAAGGCAGCGGCTTAACCCACTGAGCCACCCAGGCGCCCGAATTCCTTACATTTTTTTCGCAAAGGGCTTCCTGTCCTCTCCTGAGTGGCCTAAGTGACAGATGATCCGAGTGTCAGCCGGCCCCTTCTAACACCACTTAAAAAAATCTATTTTTCTTGTTTTATTAAAACCCATAGGACCCCTTTATTACACAAACTAATTTGCATGATGATTCCTATAGATGCAACAGAGCACACTCTGTTCTAGAAATTTATCTTTGGTGAATAAGTAGATAAAGGTTTTAGGTACCACATTGAGTAGAGAGAGAAAGCTCAATCTCTCAGGATCTTAATACTATATCCTAGTTGATTTGATTTAATCACCCCGTTCTCTTCCCACATCTGCAAAGACTGTTCTGCCTATTTTTAATCTACAGGAGCTAATTTGTTTTTGAGCATTTGGTGACATTCCGAAATAATTGGATTGTGATTTACTGATCTGCATTCTAATTGGAGAAGGGGGATTATTCATTTGTGACTTCCGAATTCCAACTAAAATTGAACTTTTTTTAAAAACGCTTTTTTAATAAGGACACTTCACCAGCCATGTTTGTGTTTGGCTGTTCGTTAACGCTAACTTAGTGACTTATTTACAGAGAATGTTTCCTAAAGATGTCCTTTGTGAGAAGGACAAGTTTGGCAATAGTAATTTACTTAATTTATCTTAAATTTGGTTTCAGTGAGCAACCCTAATTAACCTGATTTTTTGCTGATAATCACTCTCAATGGAATCAAATCACAAATCCGGGGACGGATTGAGCGGCACCCAGAAGGAAGCAGCCCTCCGCGCCCTGGTTCAGCGCACAGGATATAGCTTGGTCCAGGTAGGAACTTCTTGTGACCTCTGCTGAGATCCAGCACTGAGTGCTCTGAATGGCGGGAATATTCGTGGTCCTAAGATGCAAAATGTGAATGGTCAGCTGTGTAACTCTTCATGGATGTTCGTTCCCGGGGGGATGAAGTTACATCATTTCAGTGTTTGTAGGTGACCCTGCAGATGATTTTCTTTCCACTCTGGCTCTCAGCTTCATCTTAGCTGGTCCTTTGGAAGCAGAATCTGCATTCACAGTCACTGGGACTATCATAGCTTTAAAAGAACACTTGGGTACATGAAAAGCCAATTGGAATTTACTACCCAAGGTATTCTATGAAGTGGAACCACGCTAGTGTTGCAAGAATCAGCAGAGAACAAGCTATCCTGGAACTAACCTTAGTTTCCCGAGAGATTCCCTACTTCTAGACTTCTAGGGGGATCCCAGGACTGACCCATTGGTCACTCGAGCTATTCCATGAAGCTTTCTCAGAACACCTCCCCAGCCAGCTTTAGGATCTGTAATAGTTTCTCTCCATGTCCGGCATTTTTATTTTTATTTACTTATTTTTAAAAGATTTTATTTATTTATTTGACAGACAGAGATCACAAGCAGGCAGAGAGGCAGACAGAGAGAGAGAGGGAAGCAGGCTCCCCGCTGAGCAGAGAGCCCGACGTGGGGCTCAATCCCAGGACTCCGGGATCATGACCCGAGCCGAAGGCAGAGGCTTTAACCGACTGAGCCACCCAGGCGCCCCCATGTCTGGCATTTTTAAAAAGGAAAAAGTTCTACAACTGACTATTCATAGATGTTGGTTAAAAATTATCTATATAGATTATTGCTGTTTCTATGAAAGCCTCCTTTAGAGAGGTTAGGACACACTGAAAAGAAAGCTAATATTAAGCATATCTTACTTGAAGAAATAATGTTGCCCTTTTTACCATAAGACAAAGTGTAATCTCACTACTTTTTACACTTGCTACAGTTTTTACACACACTACACTTTTCATTCCCAGCTGTAATCTTTCACCCACATAGCTTTTGAACTTAATCAAACCCATGTGCTATTATAAGTTTCATTTGGATAACAATAAAACATGCAACATGCTCTTATTAAATAATCCTTTGTCAGATTGTTACAAAGTGTACTGCATTTAGTTATGTTAGATACGTTACCAACAATACTTAATTTTTTTTTTCTTTTAACCTTCTTTGTATCTGAAACACTTATGCAAAGATGGTGGTAGTAGAAGCATTTAAACCCTTTTGAAAAGCAATTAATATTTATACATAAGGATGTTTGCCTTCTGAAGAATAAATCTGTAATGGCCCAAAATATAATGATAGGAATACTTATAAACCTGTCTGGCATGGCATTATTTTTAACACCTCAATATCACACACCTAAATGGATAAAGGAAAATCTTTAAGCAAACTATGAATATATAATCATTACATTCAATAATCAGAACTCTATGAGAATTAACCACAAAACATGTAAATTGTTCAGTTTTAGTCAAAGCACTAGTTCTTCCTTTTCCCTAGATGAAATTCAGGGCATGTCTCATGACTTTTCTGGTAACTCTCGGGTAATTAAAAAAAAAAAAAAAATCTTCCACTAAATAGTAGTATGTCCATTGCAGTATACTAAAAACTTCAAATTATAGCTATTTCCTTCCCCATGTATGTCAAGGTAGAGGGTGATTTCTATTTTCTTCCTTTATGCTTTCGGAAGCATAATTTCCCATGCCAGTCTGCTAACTATGCGTTCGGACTCAGAGCTGAGACAGAAGGAAGGGATCAAAGCAAAGAGTGGGGGCAGCATGTGCTTGACCCATAGCCAGCCCTGGGCTCTCTGGGCCCCGCAGGTAGGCAAGTAAGATCATCACAGACTTCCTTAATTCCATTGTTAGGCATCTCTCCCCTGCTTCACCCTCCTCTGGCGGGCCACTTTCCTGGGCCTCTGACCCCTTCTGCAGAGCTCTTTTTGACATTCTAAGCAGAGCTCCTGGGGAGTAGGGAAGATAACCCCTCTACATGGGGCCTACATGTGGCCAAACTCTAGCCCCCGATAGACTCACACATTCTCCGACCAGCAAAACCTGGAGGTACGGTTTCCACAAAGCAACCACCTCTCCTTCTCGCCAACATCAAAGCAGGAGAACCCACCGCTTTCACCATCAGGGATTTCAGGAGTGAGTTAGACCTACCAGCCTAGTATGCTCCCCAAAACAGGGGGTGCATCTCAAGCTCTCTGAGCAGTTTCCTTATTGCCCCTGCCACAGTTCATTGAGATGCACCTCTCAATTCCTCTCACATGGGGGAAATCAGAATCCACAACTCACCAGCAGGGGTGTCCAAATAGCTCTGAATAGACTCCACAAACCCCTCACAGACTCCCCCACTGTTTTCCTAAACCCAGGGATGGGGAGCGGGGAGCAGCGAGGAGGTGTTGCATCAAGAACATAAACAATTACAGCAGTTTCTTCCTACCTCTTCCTGCCTCTTGGTGGTCCAGTAACTTGGCTCCATATCCAAGCCAGAGGACAAAGAGAGTCCCATCCATCTTAAAATCCTGCTGCAAATTAAATAGCATTCGGTCATGAAGTAATCACTTTAAAAAATTCTGGACAGAAAATTGTAACATCTTATTACAGCTGTGTGAAAAGTTTACAGATCGTATATTTTTTTTAAAGACTCAAATAGCAAAGGAGATCGTTTTACCAACCAAATGCAAGGATGTAAGATCATTTGCAGTATAGACAGAGGGAGACCAAAACGGCTCTTTACCTTTCATAATGAGAAGTTAGGGGAAATCGGAGGAGGAGACGAACCATGAAAGACTGTAGACTCTGAGAGACAAACTGAGGGTTTTGGAGAGGAGGTGGGGAGGGGATTGGGGGAGCCTGGTGGTGGGTATTAAGGAGGGCACGAATTGCATGGAGCACTGGGTGTGGTGCATAAACAACGAGTTTTGGAACACTGAAAAAAAAAAATGAAATGAAATGAAAAAAAATGCTTCCCAATCAAATCACCCTAAAAACATATGGCCGATCTGCATATTACTTTGAATTTATATATTCAATTACATTCAGAAAAGGTCAATAATGGAACCACACATTAATAGCAATTAAATAACAACAGACATGTAGTAGGCACTTCTATTCTAGCTGCTTTGTATAAATTCATTCGCTGGATCCTTACAACAACATTATGATCATCTCCAGCTTCCAGGTAAGAAAAGACACAAGGAGGCTAGGTACCTTGCTCATGATTTATAGGCTATAATTCCACTGCTACCGGCCAGAATTTCTGGCAAGATTTACAGAACTAAGAGAAGTTACAATATTATCTTTCTGATTGCAATTTTAGGCATTAGCATGACAGGGCATGCAAAAACTATTTTGTTGAGCCTAAACTTTATAATGGGATTAACTTTCAGTAGTACGATTTATTTGCTAACAGAGTGACTGATTGGGTCAGAAATTCTTGCATAATGTAAAACCTAGAATGCTAAAACCTGGCTATCCGGACCAAACCCTCTAGTCAAGGTCTACATACATACAGGACTTGGTTCAATCATTTTGAATGAATTGGAAAATCCTTCCTGATTTTGGGTGCAAAGTATAGGAAGTCACCCAAGACTTTAAATGGGAGACCTGTGGTTTAACTTGTTCCTTGACACAAGTTGTATGATCTTCAACACGTCCCTTAAGCACTCTGGGTCGTAATTTCCAGAATACTGGCTAGGTCCTGCCCCCATTCTACTAGTCATGATGTTGCCATCCTGGGATCTGCCCAGTCCAGTCACTGGTCCGCAGCCCAGATTAACTGGCTGGAAAAGGAGAGCAGGACATTGAAGGCACAGCCTCAGCGCTTTGGGACTTAGAAGAGACCTTTCAGCCTTCTCCATACTTTAGCCTTTGCAAAGAGGGCAACATTGGGTTTCCTTTTTTTAAAAATCTCTTTACAAAAAATTAAGATAAAGAAACAGCTTAATACAATTCTGGGAGCATACCCATAAAAAGATCATTTTAAACATGAAGGTATTTGCTAAATTAGGTGTTGGAGAATTTATTTTGTCGCATCTTCACAGCCTCTGAGATTGAACATTGAACACTCGCAAAAGGAGAATTCAAAAACCAGAGGGTGACTAATTTGTGCTCTCTTATCACCAGCAGGACAAATATAGCTGTCAAAAATAGAATTTTGCAGGTTACTTAATAACGTGAGCCAGTCTTTTATATTCCAACTGATGCAACACTTTGTGCCTGTGAGCATTTGAATTATTGTTAAAAAAAAAAAAAAAAGGAGAGAGAAAGAGAAAGGGATCACAAAGTACATCTTTGGATATTGATAGCTGGAAATTTCATCAAAGTACCTTAGAGAAAATAAAGGGAAGTTAATGCCATATCCTGCATTTAGTGGACATTCAATAAATATTGATAAAAATTGTGTAACATTGACAAGTTAGACCTTCAACTTCACACTTGTGTTAGCGCCACATAGAAATATTTTGGAAGGAAGTATGCTGCGATGTTGTTGCTTTGTCAACAGTCTTTTGTCTCCAGACAACAGAATTATGGGTGGTGATTTTGTTCCCCTACCCTTTCATTCTTAACTGAACTTGCCAGATTTTCTGAAAAAAGTATATTTTTGAGAGTGAAAATATACTTGAGAAAAAAATCAGATCATGCTGATCCTTTCTTCAAGAAAGCTTTAATGATATGGGTCATGAACTCTGACCTATGATGATCCTTCCATCTGGAATTTTCTCCTTTATGCCAGAAAAATCCATTTTCGTAGATGAACATTTTCCACAAACTTCCCACCCAACATGTGATTAGTTTACATGAATTTTAATTCTAGTAAAACTAAAAACTAAAAATATATTTAATAAACATCACCCTAGAGTAGTCCAAATATTTTTAAAAGTAGGATACTTCTTCATGTATTATTTTAAAATACTTGTATTTATCATATATTTTCCATACTTAAGTATTATTTTTAAA